CGGATTCCGTTCGTCGCCCTCGCTTCCCCGCGCCGGACCAAGGGTGCCGCGGGGCGCGCAGATGCGAGGCGGGGAGAAATGCAGAAGTCGCGGAGAGACCTCATGAAGAGGAAGGCGGCGGCCAAGGCGCACGAGCAGGGCGCGGGCGCGGCCGCCGGGATGAGGCGGCGGCGGCTGTACGGCTTCTCCGCCTCGCTCGTCGTCGCGTCCTGGGCCGCGCTCCTCATCCTCAACTCGCTCGTCGGCCACGGCGACGGTCAACGCGGTACGCACGGTCCGGGCCTTCTTCTCTCCTCCGTCCCTGAAACTCTGAAGTTCCGCTCGCCTTGATGATGAATGAATCCTGTGCCGTGCTGCGCGGTGGTTGCGTGGTGCGGCGATCGGTAGGTGTTTGGTGGATTGTCCGTGGCTGTCGGTGGTGCCGTGCAGGCGCGATCGAACCCCCGTTAGGCTTAGATCCGTAATAATCCGTATGCGGTTGTTGCGCTCTCTCTGATCACCGAACAGGTTGCTGGTTGTTAGATGCGTTGCCGAAATTTCCACGTTTGTGTTCTGTGTCCGAGATTTACTGAACGCTCCTGTCATCAGTTTTTAAATAAACTTGGTTCCGTGTTGACTGAGATCACATTTTCTTCGTCTGATTTCTGCAGATGGTGGAGACCCGATTGTTGCCATTCCCATTGCTGGGCCTGGGCCTACAATGAATGAAGGTTCTGTTGGTCCTGATGTTGTACACCAGGAGCACGAGGAGAATTTGGCGGTGTCTGGTGACACATGTGTTAAACTTGATGAAAGTGTCTTGCTTTCAGAAGAGACAGTTCTGCAGGAAGATGAAGTGTGTTCCAAGGATGATGCTGGAAGTGATGACATGGAAGCTGTAACCAAGGATGATCAAATTGATCTGTCAGAAGGCCAGGGCGAAGAACAAACTGTAACCAAGGATGGTAAAATTGACCTGTCAGAAGGTCAGGGTGAGGAAGGTGCTCTGACCAAGGATGATCAAATTGACCTGTCAGTAGGTCAGGGTGCGGAAGAAGCTCAAACAAATGATGATCAAATTGAGCAGTCAGGAGGTCAGGGTGAGAGTCCTCATCTGACAAACATCGCCTCTGTAGTTCATCCAGCGGAGAAGGTGGATGTTGAAGATGTTCCCAAACCAGCAAGGTTGGCACGAGTTGTTCCTCCGGGTCTTGATGAATTTAAGACGAGAGCAATTGCTGAAAGGGGAAAGGATGCCTCTAGTCAAACTGGCCATGTGATTCACCGAAGGGAACCTAGTGGTCAGTTGTACAATTATGCTTCGGCAGCTAAAGGGGCAAAGGTTCTGGATTATAACAAGGAGGCCAAAGGCGCTTCCAACATTCTAGACAAAGATAAGGATAAGTATCTCCGCAATCCTTGTTCCGTGGAGGGAAAATATGTCATCATAGAGCTTTCTGAAGAAACCTTGGTAGATACCATTGCAATTGCAAATTTTGAGCATTACTCTTCTAATTTAAAAGAATTTGAAATGCTGAGCAGTCTTATTTATCCCACAGAAAACTGGGAAACACTTGGGAGATTCACTGTCGCAAATGCGAAGCATGCTCAGAGTTTCACATTTCCCGAGCCAAAGTGGGCGAGGTACTTGAAGTTCAATTTGCTAAGCCATTATGGTTCTGCAAGCTATTGTACACTGAGTATGCTTGAGGTGTACGGAATGGATGCTGTGGAAAAGATGCTCAAGAACTTGATTCCAGTTGAGAATAGAAATGCTGAATCTGATGACAAATCGAAGGAGCCAATTGAGCAACCACCTTTGAAGGAGCCTAGTGGTGGAAAAGACTCCTCACAGGAACCCCTTGATGAAGATGAATTTGAGGTAGAAGATGATAAGCCAAATGGAGATTCATCAAGGAATGGTGTTCATGATCAGATTGTAGAGACAAGGACACTTCAGGCTGGCAGAATTCCTGGAGATACAGTTCTCAAGATACTGATGCAGAAAGTCCAGTCTCTTGATGTGAGCTTTTCTGTATTGGAGCGGTACCTAGAGGAACTCAACAGCAGATATGGACAAATTTTTAAGGATTTCGATTCTGATATTGATAGCAAAGATGCGCTCTTGGAGAAGATAAAATTGGAGTTGAAGGAGCTTCAGAGCAGCAAAAATGACTTTGTATGCAACTTTCTGCACTTGTGTTTTGTTTCTGCTATTGTTACCCTTAATTTCTGTACCTTATCTTATTATGCATTTCCTGTTTTCAGGCGAGAGATATTGAAAGTATCCTTTCATGGAAGTCAGTTGCCTCCTCGCAGTTAGACCAACTTGTCCTGGATAATGTCATACTCAGGTTTGTATTGTTATTCTTTAGTTTCATGGATTTGCATGCACATTAAGAAAGCATGATATTGCTTGATACGATTCTAACCTTGTGAATCATGCTGTTGTGTGCAGATCTGAGTATGAGCGATTTAGGGATAAGCAGGTTGACCTGGAGAATAGGAGCTTTGTTGTTATATTCCTGTGTTTTATTTTTGGATGCCTAGCCATAGCTAAATTGTCCATAGGTATGATATTCAATATTTGTAGATTATATGATTGTGAAAAGTTGGATAGGGTAAAATCCGGATGGCTTGTGCTGCTGCTGAGCAGCTGCATTGTGGCCTCCATTTTGGTAATACAGTGATGTGTGTACTCATCTCCATATAATCGCGGCTGCATAATGTAATTCCATGAGGTATCTGATTCAAAAAAGATCACATCTCTGAGATCATAGAAAATAAAATCTCAGTACAGATTATCTAGCCTCATCATTGATCTAAAATTTGGAGGGAAAAGGAAAGGAGCAAAGTGTGCACCTGTGAAACTGGAGTCATTTTAAAGGTGCAGCAGACTAGAAGTAGTAAAGTCTAGAACTAGATTATCTCTGCTCTGGTCCATGCCTCCATGGTCCACTCCAGTGGAATGTAGAAGCAAGACTACCTGGAAACCATGTGCACCCAGCTGGAGCCGGCAATCATGGAAGGTTAACCGTGGCATGGTCCCATGTGCTTCCT